GTTTGGGTCGTATGAAGGAGGTTTTTTCAATATAGGGACAACAAAGGAGTGCTTCCATCGAAGGGGCACATCTGAGTGCATAAAGCTGTAGTTGTAAATGAATTCCAGAGGAAAGGAGATATTTTGAGCAACTTTTTGGATGAAAAGAAATGGGTATACCATCAGGATTAAGGCTAGAGGACCTTTTCCATTCAGTTAACAGCTCATAAATCTCACCTTAGAAAACCGTATTGAATCCGGCATACAGGGTGCGCCAAAATTACGGAGACAGCGACTTCGAGTTGCCTAGGATGAGCAAGGTGCAATTCTTTGAAAACAAAAATGCAGTGACGTGCACAGTCCCATTCTGAATCGTCGACATCCATGCAATTTTTGAAATTCCTTGGTTTGTGTTTATACGGGTCCTCAGAAACATCGAGGAACCATCGACTGTGGCACGCAATGTGGCGAGTAGGACTCGTCAAGCTCATTTTAGAGCGGTTTCTTCAACGAATCCCTAGACATAATGTGTTTTATGCAAGCCTCAGCTTCTAGAACGGATCCGACAGCGTACCCTATCGAGCTCAGATCTGAAATGCTGTTCTACCACCGTTTAAGCCGACAAAGTCGAAAAAATCGGTTCTGCATCAATGCTGCACTAGTACTGAACCACCCTTGCCTCGTAAACGGGAGCTCCTACTTGATGGAAGGCCCAGCAACGATTTTCAAAGTGAAAATAAACTCAGGATAGCAATGGGCTCTGATAAGTCCAAAAGAGCCCCCCTGATTCCTATCTCTCGTGACATCCAGTGAAACCAGCGCGTCAACTACCTGCAAATTCTATCGCACACAATCCTTAGATTGTTCGTGGTCGCCACAGAAACACGCCCTTCTCATCCAGAATGACTGCATTCAGCTCCTTGTCCCCTGTACCACTTGGAGCATCTATTGATAGTGCTCGGGTATACACCAAAACGATGATAATTGTCGCGTGCCAAAAACCCTCAACGTCGAAGTCCAATGATTTAGGGACGGTGTCAGTATCAGTCAACCGCTGCAGCTACCATAGATTTTGGTGGTTGAACAAGGTAAGCATAAACAATTCTACACCACAGTACCAAAACTAGGACAGAGAAAACAGCACCTGTGAATATCACTTCAAATTGTTTGCTCA